GGAGGCGGAGGTTGCGGTGAGCCGAGATTGCGCCATTGCACTCCAGACTGAGAAAAAAGAGCGAAACCCCAACTCAAAAAAAAAAAAAAAAAAACAAAACTGAACCAGGCTAGAGCCCAAAATTCTGAGACTCCAAACTGTGAATTGTGTTTCTCTGTTAGTCACATTAATGCACATGGTTTAGAACTCAGTGGTATCCTAATTTTTAATCATAATTCAGTCATCTTAAAACCAAATTTGTAATTATACTTTTCATTAGTATCACATTAAGAATTTTATAGTTTGGCTGAAGGTGATCCTCTACAAAGTGGGGACAATTGGTTACATTTTATCCAAAAGTCGTTTTGTTTTAGCTAAACTCCCTAGTATATTCATCCAGTAATTTGTTTAACAAGTACTGGAAGTCTCTCCTTGACTCTATCCTGTAGTTCAGTGTATAGGATAATCTTTCAAATAACATTTAAATGTTTGCAGCTAAGATGCTTGTGTGCTTGTGTCTAGGATGTTTGACACAGTTTACATTTAACCTCATAGAACAGTTTATAGAATGTGAAGAATAGTGAAAGTATGGATTTATGTATAAAATATCACCAAATATTGATACAGTTCACCTGAATTAGGGCCATGTTTTTTACTGTTTCCTTCATGGTCTCATTTAGAAAGTAACAGGCAACACTTGTCCAACTATTTGGTTGTATTTATTTTCTCTTAATGTGAATCATATAAATAATTACTGTAGATATCCCTGTTTTAAGTTGCTTAAAAGTTTTCCCATCTGTAGAAAGGTTGAAGAAGACCTTAGAGAATTGTTTTCACTTACCAGTAACCTTTACATGAGTTGACCTCTGCTTTACTGATAACTTTTAAGCCTCTTTTCTGCAGTGAAGGAACTCAAACTTAAGCATATAGAGATTGAGTTAGAATTGAACTTCTAATGCAAATTTAACAAAATTATTCAATTAAGGGCCGGGCGTGGTGGCTCAAGCCTGTAATCCCAGCACTTTGGGAGGCCGAGGCGGGTGGATCACGAGGTCAAGATATCGAGACCATCCTGGTCAACATGGTGAAACCCCGTCTCTACTAAAAATACAAAAAATTAGCTGGGCATGGTGGCGCGTGCCTGTAATCCCAGCTACTCAGGAGGCTGAGGCAGGAGAATTGCCTGAACCTAGGAGGTGGAGGTTGCGGTGAGCCGAGATCGCGCCATTGCACTCCAGCCTGGGTAACAAGAGCGAAACTCTGTCTAAAAAAAAAAAAAAAAAAAAATTATTCAATTAAAATAATTTTGCTTCTATGAAACCGACCCTAGTTTGTTGCATGTTTATTTTGTTGCTGTTGCTGTTTTTCTTTTCCTGCTCTGGATTCATGGTGATTTAAATAGCTGTGTTTAGAACCATCCAAATTTCCATCATTTAAAAAAAAAAACCACTACTGTAACTAGTGGATTTTTTTTTTTTTTTATGACATAGTTATAAACTTACTGGAAATGGTAAAATATTCAGCCATTGAATTTTTAATACGTTATCATATTAAATTCTCTAGGAAGGAAGTGGTGATTTTCTTTGGGGGTTGGGTTATTTCATGAATCTGTTTACTCAGTAAGGACACTTACTCTAATTCATTATATTAATATATCAAAGAAGGAAAAAGTACCATCATCTTAATGGATACCCCAGAGACATCTGAAATTTGACACCCAGTCCTTTAGTGGGATGCTATTGCACTGTGGTTTAGAGCTAAGGGTCCAGAATTATAATGCTTAAAAAAAAAAAAATCCCTGGTAGACCTCCATTGGGCAGTGAGACGTGATTTTTCTGAGCCTCAGTTTCCTCTTCTGTAAAATGGTGTTAGTAATCACATTGGTCTTGAGGGCTAAATAGATAATTTATGTAATACACACTGCCTAACACTTGAATATCAGTTGATATTTCTGCAATTGTTTTTGATTTTTAAAAGCACCTTAGTAAATGATTACTAAACATGGTGTAGTAAGGAAATCAGAGGTTTAGGTATTTTAAGGGAAAAGACAAATTATTTACAGGGTAAGATTATTCACCTAGAAAGCATAAAAGATCAACTGAAAAGTTATGAGCTAAAATGAAAGTTCATTAGGTTTCTCAGAAAACATGATTGCACAGAAATCTGCATCTTTCCTATATGTCTGCAGTAACCAGGTTTATTTATATAAACCCGTATCTTTGAAAGAGTTGGTTTTCTTACCAATATGACATATCTAGGAAAAATTTTTAACAAGCAGTGTATGGACGTATCTGAAAAACAAGATTTCTCAACTAGAAAACTCATTATTATAAAATGTCAAGTCTCCTGTATTTATTCATAATTTTAATAAAAGTCTAATGAAAATTTCAGTGATTCTTTGTTTTGGAAGGAAGTACTCAAAATGATTTTGAATTTAGATTTACCTGGAAAGATTAATGGATACAACTAGGTAATGAAAATAATAAAATGAGTGGGAATTAGTTCTGACAGACATTAAAATGCTACAAATCTAAGTGGTGAGGGTTACAAATGAGTTTTACTTTGTGCTTTTTTGATTTTCAAAAATTAAAAGATGTTCATTTCATTTTAAAAAGAAATTGTATTTTAAAGTCTTAATATGACTGCATTTCTGACATGCCCTTTAAATGTTTAACGTTTCTTTATGCTTTGTGTGGAGATAACTTACATAAGTAATTTTCATTAGTATTATTGTAGTTATATTCACGGTTTTATAAGCTTAAATAGGATATTTGGATTTGTTTGATCTGCATTTTTTGAAAGGCTTTTTCTGTTTCTTAATTAAATTTGTTTCTGTGAATATTATCAAGCAGTGAGCTTCAACAGGCCAATTATAAGAGTTGAAATCCTTGCAAAGCTAATAACCTCCAGTTAGGCCAGATTTGAATGAACAGAATTGCTTGATAATCTGATGTTTGCCTGTTGTGATTTTTTTTTTTTTTTTTTTGCATGTGAAAACACTTGATTCTCCTAAAGAGGAGAGAGCAGTTCTTGTTCTTTTAAAGGGAAAACTAGTAAATGAATTTTTGAGGATACACAGAACATTTAGGTTTATAGGATTTCTTAATTTCTCTGTGGGTGGATTTTTGCCCCCAGGAATTTTAGACTTTATTATTAGTATATAGTTGGATCTGCCCCTGGATGGTGTGGGCTTGGTCCTTTCACACTTACTATTTTAATTTGGGGTTCTTCCCTTATTTTGATAACTTTAACTTTCATAGGAAAATCAGTCGCCTATATGCCTTATGCTGAGGTCAAACGTGCTCTAGAACAGGAAGCACAGATGCACAATACTGCAGCAAGGTCAGCCTCACCGTGTAGGCTTTCTCCAAGAGAAGTCAGTAAAGCCGCTCCACAGCCTGATATGAGTGCAGCCCGCTATAGTGTCCCGCCAGGTAAATATCACTCCTCTGTGCAGTGGCTGCTGGCCATCCACCCGCAGATGTCCCATGTGGGTGGTTTAATCTCATGAATGAACTGCTTTTCCAGGACATGTCCTTGCTGTTTCAAAATAACTTTGTTTCTCTGCATTCCATCATCAGTTGTATTTAGTTGAGTTCACTGGGCCACTGGGAAATTTGTGTTCATACATTTATACTGTGACATTGGCTGGCTCTTCTTTTAAGAAGAGTACATGAATTTGTAAAAGTCTTGATCTCCCCATCCTTAAAATTAAAGTGATCTGTGAGAGCCAGAATCAGTATGTTTCTCAAAATACGCAAGATACAAAAAGGATGTATAACTGGTTGTCAGTCATGTCTGTGTATTCTATGAAGTAGTGTTATCAGCTGTTCTTAAGAAGTACCTTAAGAGTGATGGCAAGAGGTAAACATTTTTGAAGACTGATGTTTGCCATGCTAAGCAGAAATAGTTTGAAATGAGCATCAGCTTGAAAGCTCTGGTTTGACAGGGAGTTGACTATTTCAGCCCCACAAATAGTATTTGTGACTTAAATATATATACAGGCTTAAGTGAATGAGAAATTTAAATAGAAATGTTCCTTGTTGGTTTCATCTTGCATTTTTAATTTGTGATTTAAAAATTCAGGAATGACTGAGATAGGTAACATGTTGTAAACTAGGAAATGGACTGTTTTAAAATCATTTTTCTTTCCTTTTAAAAGTCCTTCAGCCTGCTCCACATCAAGTGATAACTAATCTCCCTGAAGGTGTTCGGCTTCCAACAACTCGACCAACCAGGCCACCGCCCCCTCTCATCCCATCATCCAAAACCACAGTGGCTTCAGAAAAACCATCATTTATAATGGGAGGCTCCATCTCACAGGTGAAATGACTTCTCTTTACAGTAGATTTCTTGTTGAATGTGGCTTTGGTAAAACTTTTTCCTCCTTCTCGCACTTATCTGTCAGAGTACTAGTAAATAATAATCTCTCTGAATATGGAGCTTCAAGTGTAGCAGCAGTCACCATACTCTTGCCACAAGAGTTTTCAGTGGGTTGTGTACCCAGATTGAGTGGCCATGGCATAACACCCATTTAATTACACTTGGCACTTGGCATACCACCTGGTTTAATTTACAGTCACTCTAAACTTATAAGTTTTAAACTTAGCTTCAAACAGTAGAATAGTTGTTCACTAACCTATGGTAAAGGCTCTAAATATTAAATTGTAGGTGATTAGTATTATAGTTTATTCTGACTTTGGCCACTAAATGTTTTTTCTGGTTCATTACGTTTTAAAAAATTGAGATACAGGCCGGGCGCGGTGGCTCACACCTGTAATCCCAGCACTTTGGGAGGCCGAGGCAGGTGGATCATGAGGTCAAAAGATCAAGACCATCCTGGCCAACATGGTGAAACTCCGTCTCTACTAAAAAAAATACAAAAATTAGCTGGACATGGTAGTGCGTCCCTGTAGTCCCAGCTACTCGGGAGGCTGAGGCAGGAGAATTGCTTGAACCTGGGGGGTGGAGGTTGCAATGAGCCGAGATTGCACCACTGCACTCCAGCCTGGCACCTTCGACAGAGTAAAAAAAAAAAAAAAAAAATTGAGGTACAATCTGGTCTTAACAGTTCCATCAGTTTTGACTAACATGTACATCAGTGGTCACGCCCCTGTCAAGTTATCGAAGACCTTCCATCACTTCAAAAGTCTTCTCATGTTCCTTCCCAGGCCATCTCCCCTCCCACTGCCTAAAGCAATCACTGTTCTACTTCCTGTTGTTGTAGATTTGTCTTGGCTTTTCTAGAACTTCATGTGAATGGAGTCAAACATGGTGTACTCTTTTGTGTCTGTCTTCTTTAACTCAGCATAATGGTTTTAGGGAATTTATCCAGGATTTTATGTAATCAGTAGTTTCTTCCTTTTTTATTGCTGAATAATACCAGTTTGTTTATCCATTCTCCTGTTGATGAAAACCTAAGCTGTTTTCAGCAGCCATGAATAAAGCCGGACATTCTTGTAATGGGTTCTTTGTGGACATAGGTTTTATTTTTCTTGTACAATTACCTGGGAGTGGAATTACTAGGTTTATGTATATTTTATACTTTTCCAGAGTGGTTCTACAATTTTATGCTGCCATTAGCGTTGTACGAGACTTGTGATTGCTCCATTTGCTGTTGTCAGTCTTGGTCATTTTAGTCGTACTTGGTGTGTAATAACATTTTATTGTGGTTGTATTTTACATTTCTCTGACAACAAACAGTGTTGGACACTTTTCATGTGCTTATTGGCCATTTGTACACCTAGGAAATTAACTATTTAAATCTGATTATATGTTTCTACTGGGTCTTTTTTGATATTGTGTTGGAGGTCTTTATTATGGTTGAAAGTTCTCTGTTAGATATATATGTTACAAATATTTTCTGTTAATTTTCTTATTGGTGTTTTGATGAGCAGAAGTTTCAAATTTTTATGTAGTCTAAATATATATTCACACTTTTTTCTCCTATGATTAGTTTTATTTTCCTACGAAATCTTTGCCTGCTCCAAGGTTGTGAGATATATTCACCTGTGTTTCTTTCTAAAAGCTTTATAGTTTTGGTTTTTATATTCAGGCCTGTAACCAGTCTCAAATTAGTTTTTGTGTATAGTATAAGGTCGAGATTAACATTCATCTCTATTTAAATTTCTAGTTGAAAAATAACATCAGGCCGGGCGCGGTGGCTCAAGCCTATAATCCCAGCACTTTGGAAGGCTGAGGTGGGTGGATCACCTGAGGTCAGGAGTTCAAGACCAGCCTGACCAACAGGTGAAACCCCGTCTCTTAAAAAAAAAAAAAAAAGAAAGAAAATCAGTTGAAAAGTCTTTTACCTATTTGATTGCTTTAGTTCCTTTGTTAAAAATCATTTGACAGTATATATGGGTCTGTTTCTGCACTCTCTCCATGTTGTTCCACTGATTTACTTGTTCATCCTTTTGTCTTGATTACTATAGCTTTATTGTAAGTCCTGATATTATGTAGTATAAGTCTTCAGTGTTTCTGTTTTTCAAGATTGTTTTGACTATTTGATGTCGTTTACATTTTCATATAAGTTATGTAATCAGCTTATCAATTTTTATCTCCCCCATTTTTTTGGTTTCCAAGTTTTATTCAATAACTCATACAAAACATTCCAGTTAAATTAGTTTTAACCCTCATCTTCCTTTTCTTCTTTGTCCTGGTTAATTTGGAAGTAATGCAATTCAAAATTCTCTTTGCACAACCAATTACATAGCTTATTCTTCAGATATTTTTTGGGTGGTGAGCTATTTCAAATACCTTTTGGAAAAAAGCACCTCAGAAGTTACAGTGCTTGTGTTCTTGCTCCTTTTGATGGTTACTACCTTTCTACCAAGATTCCCAGTGGTTCCATTCACTTTTATTCTTAGAGAAACTGCTCACAATTAGCAGCATCTTCTACAGGGTAGGTCCAGTCATCCTTTTTTTTCTTTTGCCCCCCTCCCCCCACCCCTTCGTCCCCGCACTTTGCCGCAAGCTTTTTCATGGGCACCTGGCAGCAGCAAAGGCAGAAACTATCTGTTTGTCATTCTACTTAAAGAAAAAAAATTCTACTGGGATTTGTTTTTCTGCCCTCCCCTCCCTTCCTCCTGTTCATTTGTTTTATTTGCAGGAGGAGTTGAAACATGTTTTAAGGGAAATGTTTATTTTTATCCCCTAAACATGAATCATTTAAGTAAAACCAACTTAACTATATAAATGTAGCAAAGTAAGGGGAAAATAGCACAAATTACCCAAGAGGCAAAGATTGTGGGGAAGAGGTGGGTGCAGTTGGCATGTAACATATGCATAAATGCTTTATAATTTACCTGCTCAGTGCTCCTCCCCAGAAGGCAAGCACAAGGACCCATTTTAAGAGGATGTTTC